GCTTTGTCTCAGTCGTTCTAGAAACATGTTTATAGTTTGGTTGAACCTAGAGTTGAAGTGGTTTACTTAGTAAAGTGGGCCTAATGCTCAGTGAATCAAAACCACAGATGGTATTGGGTTTAACTAGTGCCTAATCCTCATAGTCTTATTATGTTGAGTTTGATTATGGGTTTATTGGCTTATGTCAAGCAAAGATGAAGGTCTTAGAGGGTTGAAAAGATTAAGAACCCCAAGAACATGCATACAAAATGAGAAAGAAAAGTGGAAAAAGAGATGAGAACTTACAGTCAGCGGTCCAAATTGAAGATCCAATCGATCCAAAATGTTCTTATGGCGATTGTGATGTAGGAGGTGTGAGAAAATCTGATTGCGGAAGATGAGAAGGACACAACGATGGCTCTAGGTCTCTCTAGTTCACTTTGAAGCACCGATGAACACGTTTGTACGTATCGTCTCTAGCCAGGATTTGAATTTTGGTAAATTGTGCGTGGCAACTGAAGCAGGTGCACAATTCCACTAAACGGGGGCCATGTGTTCCATAAAGAACGCGATGTTAGAGTGGTTGGTGAATGTACTGTATAGATGAATAGACCACTCCAGACTGAACAAACATTGTAGCCAAGCGGGTACGTTAGATCGTTAGAATGGAGTAAATTAGCTCGATTTAATAGAGTAATCCCAATCATGCCAAAGCAAATGGAATTAAGGGGCAACTAAGAGAGTAGTTTGAGCCATGCAAATGGGTTGAGCTAAGTTTGCATGGATCTTGGCTTTAGGCTGTGCAAATAAGTTGGGTTAAGTTTGCATGTAAAGTCAGCCAAGCTAAGTTTGTATAGGCCTTGTGTTTGGGCCGACCTACATTGACTTTGTCTTGCTCTCCATGTCATTCTAAGTTGGAATGGCTTTGGGATTGTGTTATTTTTGGAAGACCGAACAACGGTTGAAAGGTTATGACGAAGCACAGTTGCTTACATAACCGAGCTAAACACCGAGCTGGGTCTTGCAGTTAGCACAGTGCAACATGTTGCTTAGTAGTCTTAAAGGCAAGTATTCAGTACGGTTACTTGGTCCTTGACTAACTGGAATGGCTTTCTTAGCTTGGTGGCCGAGTTAAGAGTTATGATATTTTACTCAAACTTTCGAGATAAGTGTGTTAAATGATAGATATTATCCTTTAGGAGATTGAAAAATCTAAAATTCCCGAGATATTGATTTGTGATTACGTGTTAATTTTAAGCAGTAAATAACAAGCCCAATTAAACAATCAAAGATAAATCAACATAACGATTTAACGTGAAATAACCACAATTAGAGCGCCTCCAATAGTGATAAAAAAAATCACGGGCAAAAGTCACAAAACAATCCATTAAGAAGACAAAAAATAATTACACATTTGTACCCTCAATTACCTAGCGAATCTACGTCCGAATGAACTAACCCCTATATGCCTCTTCCACCACCGCCTTCACCTCGGAATTGTCTTGCCCAACGTTGAATCCACAACGCCGATGTCGAATCCATAACGATGAACCACTTCGGAGTCCACCAAAGTTTCAGGCCCAAATTCCACGGAATCCACCGAAGAACAACTCTCTTTTTTGTAAATAAAACAAAATAAACAATCTCTTTGATATAATCCACTTAATTCATGATATAAACTCTCAGAGATATCAAAGGAAACAAGCAAAGAAGCTCCAGATGAAAACCCTAACACCCAAGAAGAAGATCTGGAAGCCGTATCCTAGAAACTGAATTAATTGCAGATTTATAGAAAATAGAATCGCGATTTCCGCTCGAGCGCAAGAATGGTCGCTCAAGTAGACTGACTAAAATGCGCGTTTCAGAATAAGGATCTACGCTCAAGTATAGGAAAGGCCGCTCGAGCGGAAAAGAACAACTCTTAATACTTTTGCAGGCAAGTGAAACTTCTGAAAGGATTACATCTCCGCTCCAGCTCACAATCAACTGCTCGAGTAGACAAATAACTTCTACTGTAATTTTGCTTTTTGTTTCGAGGGCGCTGCTCCTCGATCCCCAACATAGTCAGCGAAGTGGCAACATGATAAGATTAAGATCACAAACTCCTCTACATAGGCACAATTTGGGTTGAATTTGTATCTAAATACTCATAGCCTCACTCAAATAAAAGTTCGAATAAAATTACAACTGAAAGGAGTTTTGTCAAACGGGGTTACCAATATCAAAAACCTAACAGAGATGGACTCTTGATAGGACCTTACGAAGGATTTAGAATCCTACTAGGAGTCTACCTCGTGGAATATACAAAAGCTTAGTGGTAAACCTTAAGGAGGTAATGCAATTTTACTCACTGAATTTCTAAAGAGCTTTCCTCATATTGATCTTAAGGGCTAACTTAAGCATCAAAGGAATTTTCCAGCACATAACGGTTTGCTCACCTGAGTTGTTTTGCCAGCTACACGATGCCATTCGAGGAGATACAAGCCTGATCTCGAGAAATACACGCGTGATAAATATTTCGTATCGATACATTTATATTTATAATTATATTTTATATTTTATTTTTAATGCCATATTTATTAATAAATTAGTTGAAAATGTCATATTACATGTATATAATACAGAAATATAATAATATTATTAAATAAAAATAAAGAGTAAGAGAGCGTATGCAAGGAGAGTTTGAGTTAATTTTAACTTCTGCTTCTGCATTGAAGTCTTTTAATAAAAACTGAATTACAATGGAATTTTTTGAATTTGGGTTTTAAAAACATAATTATAAAATAATACAAATTTTCTTTTAAAAAAAAAGTCTAAAAATATTTTCCGTTAAAAATAAATTTATGAAAATAAAAATAATTTTATTCACAAACATTATCACTAATTAATGGGTAAACAATACATAAAATATCTTTTGTCGACACCATGCAATACGTTCACACCATGCTATACTTTTTTCGCGGGGCTGGGACCATGAAATAGAAGTACTAACATTCTGAAGTGACAACCTTCATAATTTACCTAGAAATTATAGCGAGGTTATCATGCATTCATATTGACTATGAGGAAAGCTAATCCTTTCAGAACCTTTCTAATGGTGACATTAAAATTGAATGTGTCAATGATTTTGAAGAAGAAATATTATCTATTTCTTATTTTTTAGTATCATTTTGTATCACTATATATATATATATATAATTGATTTGTTGTTTGAAAATAATCAATTAAATAAGACAAATAATATAATGTCGTGTATAATCAATCCGTAGGATCAATTTTAATAATTTGAACATTTCATTTTATAAGATTCTTCGTATATATTATTTACACAAAAAAATTAAATTGATTCAATTATCGTAAATTATTCATTTATTATGTTTGTCATCAAAATAATCGATGATCTATTTTTAAAAACAAATTTTTTGTTATATATTTTTATCAAAAGCAAACGTAATAAATCGAATATATTATAATTATCAGATTAATTTAAGTATTTTTTTTTAAAAATAATCTACACGTACAAACTAAACAATTCGAATTATTAAAACGAGACTATGATTTCATGAGACCAAACAATATTCTCTAGTCCAGATCTAAAACTCAAATTGGAGGGAATCTGTTCCCATTACATAATCCATAAGACTCTTAGATCTCAAAGCATTTTTTTTCCAATAGAACATACTTTTTTTTTTAATCTACCAATTAGCAACCTAATCAACATCTCAAACCAATAAACAACCATAGCTTAAGGAGCATAATCCAACGGCCGCACGGTTGGAGCTATAGTCATCAAGTACTTCTTTGTAGTCGTACAGTTGGCATCATCATAGTGATCCCTAGTAACCATTATTCAGATTCAGATTTGAATAAGCTCTCATTTAGAAAGAGAATTTTTGTACTGTATCATGATGCGGTGCCCTATGGTTTGGTAAAACTATAATTTTCTCCAGGATTCTATTTGAAATTTATAAATTAAAGCAGTAGGATTATTTATTTTTATTCATAAATATTATAGTTTTTAAGTGTATTTATATTGGGTGTATTTCAAAAATAAAGTTTTTTTTTAAATTTTAAAAAATCAGTAAAATAAAAATATTTGAAATATAAAAAATTTCAATTATTTAAAAAGTAAATAGTAAAAATTCAAATCAAGCTGATTAATTTTTTTTTTCTTCCCATGAAAGTCGGCCCCACCTTCCCTCGTCTTTCTGGGTTGGTTGGTTGCCACAAGTAAAACGAGAGAGAGAGAGAGAGAGAGAGAGAGAGAGAGAGAGAGAAGAAGAAGAATCTCCATTCGGGGATAATGGTGGTTTCAGTGGTGCTTTTCTAATAGATTTTTAAGGTCGAAGGTCATAATAGAGGTCGAGGCTTGCCCCCCACCAACAATGGTGGACCTGTGGTTTGCTCTAACGCCTTTAGTGTGGGACCCCAAAAAAACCCTCAAACCGAAATCCAAACCCAAAATAATTCTACCTCTTGTGAGACCTACTACTATATGTGGGCCTCTATGGTATGGTATAGGTGGTTGGCCTTTCTCGAAGACTAAACACCCGGCTAATTATTTAATAATTTTGAAGTATTGATGTGTAATATTTTATAGTATTATGATAAGTAAAAAAAATAAGTAATTGGAAGATTGTGTTAAGTGATTAGGAAATATGAAGAGTATATTGAATGACGATTAATTAAGAAGTACAGACACGTGATACTCTACAAATATTTAATAATTTCTCAAAGACTCCACCCTTCTCAAGTACAACCTAATGGCCACAGCAAGAATCCTCTGTCCCAAAAATTCTTGTCCCCTGTCTCAAATCACTCACAACCATTGGATTATAGGAGAATTTCAAAATTCACAAATCTCAAGACATATTCAATGATTGTGAATAATTTGAAACATGAGACAGAAATTTTGGAGAGAAAGAATCCTAAGGCCTAATGGCCATCATACACCAAGCTGTTATAATTGCCATGCATTTCTGTTCTCTCTCTCTCTCTCTCTCTATGATATGTCCAAGTCTAACAACCCTTATAAATTGTCATGTCTGCATTGCCATTTTATTCACAACCTCGCATCTCCCATATTATGCCAATGCTATTGTTTCCTGTTTCTCATTTAACCTCACTCACTCTTTCCCATCCTTATTCTAGTAATTTATTTTTTATTTTTATTTTTTTGGGTACTCTATTTTGGTGTATGTATTAGTTTTTGAAAAAGTATAGGCTGGCAATAGCATATCAATCTTAGGATGAGCCTGTCGTATTTGTAAAATTTAGCATTAAAAAAATAAAAAAATAAAATTAAAAAAAAAGCATATTCAAATAGCTATATTGAGATTTTTCGCAAAAGGTTATAGGAAATGAATCTATCTGTAAATGGTCAGTCTCAGGTCCCTCCGGGTTTTCGGTTCCATCCTACAGAAGAGGAGCTTCTGCACTACTACTTGAGGAAGAAAGTGGCCTACAAGAAGATAGATCTTGATGTAATTCGCGATGTTGATCTTAATAAGCTTGAACCATGGGATATTCAAGGTACGTAAAGCCAACCAATATTGTATTGATCCTTCATTAGATAGTAATAATAGATAAGCTTGCATGCTATGCAGTGCTTTTTGTATTCATTTGTTTGGGTTTTGTAGAGAAATGCAAAATAGGATCCAGCACTCCACAAAGTGATTGGTACTTTTTCAGTCACAAAGACAAAAAGTACCCAACAGGGACTCGAACAAACCGAGCGACTACCGCTGGTTTCTGGAAGGCGACGGGGCGTGATAAGGTGATATACAGTAGCTTAAGAAGAATTGGAATGAGAAAAACTCTAGTCTTCTACAAAGGACGAGCCCCTCATGGACAAAAATCAGATTGGATCATGCACGAATATAGGCTAGAATTGGATGACACCTTCACCACTCACCATGACGCCGACAAGGTAAACATATTCCTCTCGATTTCGATTTTGATTTCAATTGCAATTTTAACCTGGCTTCTAATTCTAACTATGTTGGATTTGGATTATATAACATGGTAATATCCAGGCCAATAATCTAGCAGCAGCAGCAGGAGGAGGAGGAGGAGGAGACTACTCAGTGTCAGAAGAAGGATGGGTGGTTTGTCGTGTTTTTAAAAAGAAAAATTATCATAGAGCACTAGAGATAGAGAGTCCCCAAAGGCAAAGGCAAAGCCCATCTACTTCTTCCATGAATATGGATCATTCAAGAAACCAGCTGATGGTGATGCGCAATTCGAGCAATGATGGCGGCATAGCTGATCAGATACTTGAGTACATGGGAAGGTCTTGCAAGCAGGAGGAGAATGAAACAACCACAACCACCAGCAACAATAGCAACATCAACATGCCCTCTTCGTCTTTAATCAACATCATCAACACAGTGCATCTCCCAAGCTTGGAGGAAAGTGATACTCCAACTATACTACCATCATCATCATCATCATCATCACTGAACAATAAGTATTGCTACTCCTCACCCTCCTTCTTCAATCATCATCATGAGGAGGAAGGCTGTACCACTACTACTACTACTACTGCTGCTGCTGCTGCTGCTTTTAAAGATTATGGTGGTGGTGGCCAATCAATGGACCCTCTCAATCATCATCACCAGAAAGATGGAATCATCAATGACTGGGCTGCATTCGACCGCCTCGTAGCTTCCCAGCTGAATGGCCCAGGATCAGAACAGGATGCTAAGGATGATACATCCAACCACTTATCCTCCTGCTACAATTATGGTTACCGTTACGGTGATCCCAATGTTGATTTCTGTTTTTCCATTGATGGTCATGATCATGATGATGTAGTACAATTATCACAACTACCTTCTTCAAGTAGACCAAATATTCAATCCTCCTCCTCTCAGGTCCAAAGCACCGAGATCGATCTATGGAGCTTTACACGATCATTATCCTCATCATCATCCTGTTCTGACCCACTATGTCACTTGTCGGTATAATTACACATCATATTATATAGTGTACATGTCTCTTGTAAAAGTCAAATATTATGTAATCCATATATATAATACATGATCGGCTATAAATAAAGGGGTTATTATATCTGCGATGGGAATGCCATTCTCAACCATTTTGCCTCTACTTCATAACCATGTCTTCCATTTTTTTAATTTTTTTTCTAATTTAATTTTTAAATTTTTTTTTTTTTTTTTGTCAGCAAATAGAAAGAGGAAATATTATTAATAAAGAGAGAAAAAATTACACCCAAACAAGCTAAGGAACAGAACTGCATCATTGTCAATGTAAAATGTCCCAACAATGCTTTCCACACCATTATTGTCAAGTAAAATAGCATGTTTTGGTGATCTAATTGCATGCTATATTTGTATCAATACATGAACAGTAAGTTTAGAAACACATAATAATAATAAAAAATAAATAATAATATAAATACATAAATTGTGAATGTACATGATTTTTCAAACACTGAATCCCACCAAACAATTCATATAAAATCCTGCCATGTGTACTTCAGGGGGATTGACTTGTCTCCCGTCCAAATATATATGGACCAAATCGGTCTAGTCTGCCACACAGCCCACGTTGATGACTCGATTACTTGATCTATAAGGTCTAATTGTGTAGATTATTATAAAAAAAGAAAATTAGATTGAATCAATAATTATAATCATATGATTTCATCACATTTGTTTTAAAAATAAAAATGAACACAAAATTTAATTTAAAACGAAATTGCTCTTCCTTTTGAAACAAATGTGATTAAATCAAGTTGTTATAATTATCTAATTAATTTGACTTCTTGTGTGAACGATGTGCGCATGAGGGACTAAAAATTTAACGGTTCAAATTATGGAAGTAGGGCTCATGATAGGCCCATAAGCCCCAACTGTCACTATAACAAATAAGAGTTTTAGGAATCAAAATTTTTTATCCTCAAATATGAAATTTTTATTGCAAAATATATGTGGGAACTAATTCTTGCCATCGCGAGGATAATCATTAAGAACTCATCTCAAAAATGTAAAAGAAGAAAAAAATTAGAGACAATTTTAAAATTTTGATAATAAATACATTTTTTAGGACAAAATAATTTGGTCAAAAAGATTTATTTTTTGCAATAAAAATTTTGATCTTAAAATAATAGTAATTCATCCAATTTTATTGTTAAAAATATAATAATAACACTTTTGACACTAAATATTTTGGGTTATTTTGTGTATGGCTGATAAATTGATTTTTTTTGTTTATTAGGAAAATATATGTAGAAAAATAGAGAAGTGATATAATTTAAATAAACCAATAAACTTGCTTTTTTAGCTTTACCTTATCTCTAAAAAGTAATTTTGTTGGTGTAGGACTGAAAGTGAGTTCTTTATTTTTATATTCTACTTTTTTATCGGCGAAAGTCAATTGTTAATTGTTAGATTAGTATTAATGGGAGTTAGTGTTCTTACTACCGCAAAACACCAAGTGCTTGTCTCCTAATTCAACTCAACTCTCATTTATGAAGAGCTGAACCCATAACCTTCTCGTTTGGAGACTATGTATTTTAATGAAAAAGTCAAAAAATCAATATAATATCATATCACTCTTTCTATTTTTTTATACATCTTTTTATTAAAAATTAAAAAATTACCAAAATAACATACTTTCCGACGTGAGCTAAATCCTTAAAAGGAGTCATGTCTACCAACTAAGTAGGCCTAATTGATTTTTTCTTATATATGTTCCTATCTGAACTGACAACTACATTCTTACGTTACGTCTTTGCCTGGACTCGTTAATTACGTTTAAAAGTTGGACAAGTTAGACAGTAACTCCTTTTAGATAAGCTTTGCTTTGGGTTACGATTTTCAATAGAGGTTAGTTGGATAGTCCCCATTTTTAACGAGTCATCTCCCTTATCTAAATATAAAAAAGTATAAATAGAATTTGATTTCCGGTTTAAGAGTATAAAAATGACTCATTAATCGCCCGAAACCTTCCAACAGTCCCGGTGGGCGTAGATTGGCTAAGCCCAAATAGGTTTGGGCCCAAGCTCGGGACCCTGGGCCTGAGCTCTCCTGGCCCAACCCATAGCCAGGCTTGAACCTCAGCCCGATGTTAAAAATTTCGCGTCCTGGAGGCTCAGCCCGACCTTGCCTGCGGCCCACCCCCTTAATGGCTCTCTAGTTCAACGGTCAGAAAATTCAAGATATTTTTTTTTTATTTCAAATGATCATGTGACCGTTTATACATCAAAAGCCGATTTTCATTTTTTTATTATTTTTTTATTTTTTCCAAATTCACCCCTCCTCCCAAACTCTTATAAATGTCACCCTTCTCCCATTTTATTTCTTACAAACAATTATCTCTCTCAACTCTCTCAATTAATTTTGAATTCTCATATTTAAGTGGCAATAGCAATTGTGTAAAAAGAAACTTTTATAAAAAAAAAAACTAATATTTGTATCATATTTGTTAGTCGATAACATTAATTATTTGAATTAATTTTATTATTTACTCATTTTGTACTTCATTATTTCTTAATATATATTAGTTGTTATTGTTAGTCATCATTTAAATTAATTGTTGGTTCTTATATATTATTTTACTTACATTATTATGGATATTAATATTCTTAATATTTATGTCGATATTGATGCATATACTACATAATATGAATCTGTTAATTCTTCTTCTAATGCACCTAATATCCCTCTTCCAATAGCTGAGTCATCATCTAGGGGCACGACTAGTAGTGTTTGGAAGCATTTTGAAAAAATATTTGTAAATAATTTTGATGGTACAATTACATTTAAAGAAAAATGTAAATATTGTTCATATTTACTTAGTGCTACATCTGCAGCGGTACTAATCATCTAAAAAAACATGCTAACAAACATTTATAAAGTCAGTAATCTTATATTAGAAGTCAAATGTAATTAAGGGCTTCATTAACTAGTCAATTGCAAACATTTTCATGTGATCTTACACGTGCCCAAAATTCTGTAATTGATTATATTATTCAGAAAAAATAACTTTTTACTAGTAATGAATGTTTGAATTTTTTACAAATAGTTCACGAAAGTTTTGCACCGCTGTGATGACCGGTTTCGTTGTACGTCGCTTCACTCATTGTCTTTATTGGGTTCGTTGCGTTGGGAAGTTTTCATTAAATTCCTATCCCTGTTTATTCCGGGTTTGAGTGTCACTTGTTTCAGATGGTGCACGGTCGAGTCCGGAGTGTCTGGAATCAAACTAGAAAATTTCTGGACTGGAGGACCAGGGCCGCACATGCCGAAGAGGGCCGCACGTGCGAGAGATGAGGGTCGCACGTACGGGAGATGAGGTCGCAAGTGCAGGGAAGTGGGGAATTGTGAGCCTTGCACGTTGCATTATATGCAGGTGTGAGGTGTGGTGCGGATTGGGAGGGCCGTGCGTGCGGGATGCAGGCTCCTCACGTGTGGGATGGGCTAAGTCCGAAAAATCTATTTTTTTCTCTCATTTTGGCTGAGTGTGTATCACTTTTTAACCCTCCATTCTCATTCTAAAAACACTTTTGCTCCTCCTTCTCTCTAAAAACTCTCATCAAATACTAAAAACCCTTGAATTCTTGCAATCCATTGGGTCTAGATCCATCATCGCTCACAAGTTTTGGAGAACAAAGCAAGAACTTCACTTTGTACGGTGGAGATCGAATTTCTACACCTTTTGATTCTATGGTTTCATCGAATCTCTTCATTAAGCTTGAGGTTGGGAAATTCTTAGAGTTATATATATGTTTTGCAAGTTTTTGGTTGATTTTAAGGGTTCCTCTTTGATTATTTTTAAAAGTTGGTTTTTGGTTAAAAGAAATTGGTGATTTTATAGAAGATATTCATCTTTTGTTTCTTTTAGAGATCCTCTTGAATTGTTTAATCACACTGGCTTAAGAATGATGTTTGTAGTGAGGTTTTGCTAAGAGATAAAGAAATGTTTGATTTTTGTGAAAAACCTAGAAATTGGGGGTTTTGGAAAAATGTTGGGGATTCATGGATTTTCTTAGGTTAAATGAAGGAGTGAGTGGAAATTTCATATTGTTGTTTACAAATATGACAACTTCTTGATGTATGAGAATGTGTAGACCATATTTTAATTTATTGTTAAATACATATTGTACGAGCACAAAATAATGTTCTCGTATGATCCTGTTGACTAAGTCTATGCTCCTCCAAACGTCGTCGCTTTACTCCCTGAAAACACAAACATGAGCTAGCCGGCAGGTGTGTACCGGATACCTCTCCGATGCCTAAGTCAGCAAAATAGACAAATAGACAAAAGCTCTGTGAATTCGAGAACCAAAGTTGTGTTACCTCCTCCATAGGGTTTGTTATGAGCTTTTTATAGGTTCCGTGTGACACAATCTTAGTAGGACTCTTATTCCACCATCTAGAGTCCTCCTAGGAATCACACTCCTGAAAGATAATCCTTATCCTTCAACACCCCCCCCACTGCTAAAACCAAGTGAGATGGTTTTACCTCGGTAGTATGACAAAACGACCAAGCTAACATCGCCATGCTAAAGCGGTAGAAATGACCGAGCTCCAACTAGCTCAGTTCTTCCCTTCATTGTTGGTACCTCGATTTGGTCCGTCGAGACCGAGCTAACGCAGTAAGCATTGACCGAGCTAACGAGAGCAAGGTCCACCATAAGAAGCCCAAATACCTCGGTTCTGAATACCATGACTGAGCTAATTATCACCATACCGACCGTGGTAACCACAACCACAATTAGACCAAGCTAACTGCAAGGTCCTTTCACTCGACTCTTTTTACCGTGGCCCACAGAACGGCCCATTACCACGCCTTGGTCTAGCTCGGCCCTAATGCACATAAAAACTCCCTCTGAATTGCCCCTTAATTCCGTCTGCGTAGTATGATTGGGATTACTTTTCTACCTGCCGAGCTAAAAAGTGGCCTTCAACCGAGCTAAATTTACACCAGGCTACTAATCTGTCCGGGAAAAACGTCTTTTCAGTCGTTGTAACTGAATCACTTTCTATTCCATGGACACGTGGCTAGCTCTCATTGGCCCAACGTAGCTGTCACGCTGTCTTCGTAGTCCGAAAAATTTGAACAGTCCCGTCTTTTTCATAC